GAGTCTCACCCACATACTTGTATAGATTACGGTATTCAATTTTTTTTAAAATCTTTCGTGCTGCATCCAATTTGGGATCAGTAGAGTACAAAATCCGGTTTGGATCCTGGGCGCGCACCGACGCACGTGCTTGGCAAGCCATGCTGTGGCGGCGTCCCATATAAAGTGGAGGAAGATGGGCACGGATGTTAGCCCAGGGCCAGTCTTCCTCATTGGCAGATGTTAGCACAGGGCTGAGCTCCTCACACACACACAAAAAATATTACCTTAAAAATGCCACCTCTGTCCACTAGTGTATTTATCAATTTCATTTTAGGATGATTTTAGGGATAGGCAATCCTAAGTTGCCACCATTTTTTAAAACAGCTCTACTGAAGTATAGTTGACATATGAAAATTGTGTATATTCAGGGTGTACAACTTGATGCTTTGATGTACATTATGAAATGATCATGACAATCAAGCTAATTACCGTATCCATCACCTCGTATGGTTATCTTTTTTGGAGGGTGTGTGCGAGAACCCTTAGGATTTACTCTTTTAGCAAATTTCAAGTATACAATACAGTATTGTTAACTGTAGTCACCATGCTGTACGTTAGATTTCTAGAACTTATTCATCTTGCATAACTGAAACTTGGTACCTTTTGACCAACATCACTCCATTTCCCCCTCCCCCCAGCCCCTGGCAACCACTGTTCTGCTCTATGCTTCTATGAGTTTAACTATTTTAGATTCCACAAATGAGATCATGCAGTATTTGTCTTTCTGTGTGTGGTTTATTTCACTTAGCATAATGTCCTCCAGGTTTATCCATGTTGTCACAAATGGCAGGATTTCCTTTTTTAAAGCTGAATAATATTCCATTGTATGTATATACTGCATCTTCTTTATCCATTCATCTATGGATGGTCATTTAGGTTGTTTCCATATCTTAACTGTTGTGAATAATGCTGTGGTGAATATAGGAGTGCAGACATCTCTTTGAGATCCTGATTTCAGTTCTTTTGGATAAATACCCAGAAGTGGGATTGCTGGATCATATGGTAGTTCTTTTTTTAATTTTTCGAGGAACTGCTGTACTGTGTTCCATGATGGCTGTACCAATTTGCATTCCAACCAATAGTGCAGAAGGGTTCCCTTTTCCTACATCCTCACCAACACTTGTTAGCTTTTGTCTTTTTGATAATAGCCATCCTAATAGGGATAAGGTGATATCTTATTGTGGTTTTGATTTGCAATTCCCTGATAGCTGATGTTTGAGCACCTTTTCATATACCTGTTGGCCATTTGTATGTCTTCTTTTGAGAAATGTCTACTCAGGTCCTTTGCCCTTTTAAAAATCAGATTGATTTTTTTGCTGTTGTATGAGTTCCTTATATATTTTGGATATTATGTTTTCTTTTACAGTTTCAGTTTTACGTTTAAGTCTGTAATCCATTTAGAGTTGGTTTTTGTATGTGGTGTGAGATAAGGGTCCAATTTTGTTCTTTTGCATGAACCACCATTTTTTACATCTGTTAGGTGTAGGAAAACTCCAAAGGAAGATTGACTTTGCAAAACTCCATTTAGGTTGCACAGAATGACTTTTAAAACTGAGTTTAGTCACAAGGAAACAAAGGACCTTGATCATGGTTCCTGCTCACAATTCGTTTTTTTTTTTTTTCCTGGGCAATTTATCATTTATTTGTTTATTTTTAAATTATTTTATTGAGGTCTTATTGGTTTAGAACATTGTATAATTTCAGGTGTGCATTATTATATGTCAGTTTCTGTATAGACTGCATCGTGCTCACCACCAATAGTCTAGTATTTTATCTGTCACCATACATATGTGCCCCTTTACCCCTGTTGCCCACCCCCCCACAATTCTTATTGCTAAGTTGACACTTACAGGAAGGGAGAAACTTTGAAGAAATATCTAGCTTCCCAAACAGACTCCTTTCTTCTGTCTTCCTTTGTTAACCTGCTGTGTTTCATCTTCATTCAGATGAGTTATGATGTATATTATCTATATAAATATGCAGTTATAATGAAGAAGCTTTACAAAGGCCAAACTCTCCTACACTGATATAGATTTTTAAAACACTTTTTCAGTTTAACACTCCAGAAATTGTTTCCAATCTATGTTCTAGCACCCCAATTTGAGGTACTGTATCCAAGATAGCTTGAGTGTCACTAGTGGCTGCATATAAGGTGACTTTCTCTTTGGGTGGCAAGAAGTAAAATAATTTATATTTTATTGCTAAAATTTTTAACTTTTATTTGAATGTACTATGTCCAATTAAATATATAATTCATCACTTTGGTAGAAGTTTGGTTGACACTGAATAATACTGCCCACATTCATGTAGCAGTAAGAAAATACCTAAAAAAAAGGAAACTGCAGAAGAAAAGCAAGCATGAAATAAAGAAGAGCAGAGAATCCAGTAGACTTCATGGAGCTCACTAAGGAATTAGGTGGGAAAGATGGGATAAGATAAATTTTAGAGCTGAGAGGAAAGGGAGACAGAAAAGCAGAGGATGGATCTCCTAGCTTGGGGTCATAAGCAGAATGGCCACAGGGTGGCAGCACAGTCTTAACAATGGGAAACTTTCTTTTGGCCCACCATTAGTTTGCTAAAACCAGACTTTCTCTCAGAATTCCTCCATGTTAGTTTTCCCCATTATCCTAGGGAAACACTAGCAAAATGTTTAAAATCAAAGGTGACTCCTAAAACTTAAGCTGAGAAAAAGTGCAGGTGAAGGCACCATCTTTACTTCCAGGGTCTGTATAGATGTTCTAAGAAAGTTTTCAAACTATCTGTGGGGAAGGACCAATTTTGAGTTTCCAAACTATCATATACTAATAATTTTGTAAAATTCAATGAAAATGATTTTATAGAAAAATGAACCAAAAAAAACGTCGAAAATATAAGCCCATTTAAAAATAATTAGTTCAATAGATATAAACAGATCAACAGATATAAAATTTTTAAATTACATTTCAATAAATGTAAACAGAACGCTTGTCTATTTTTGCTTTTGTTACCTGTGCTTTTGGTGTCATATCCAAGAAATCATTGCCAAGACCAGTGTTATGAAGCTTTTCTCCTATGTTTTCCTCTAGGAGTTTTATGGTTTCAGATCTTATGTTTAAGTCTTTAATCCATTTTGAGTTGATTTTTGTGTAGTGTAAGATAAGCGTCCAGTTTCATTCTTTTGCATTTGGATTTCCAATTTTTCTAACACCATTTGTTGAAGAGAGTATCCTTTCTCCATTGTGTATTCTTGGCTCCCTTGTCAAGGATCAGTTGACTGTATGTGTGTGGGTTTATTTCTGGGCTCTCTATTCTGTCCCATTGATCTATGTGTCTGTCTTTATGTAAATATAAACAGAACAAACATAACATAGAAAAAAAAGAGAAAAGAATTACCAAAACTATACATGTTGTTTATTGAAAGTATATGTATAGATGATTCATATAGAGAATCCGTATTACTGTTATTATATTCTACAAATGTATTAAAAAATTTATGAAGGATATAGTAAAGCTCTGTATTTAATGTCCTACATATATACATTTTATGAACATCATGTATATCCATTTTTAAAATTTTTGTTGTGATCAACCAACTTGCTTCTTGCTTGT